CAGCGATTGACTCATCCCACATACAGCAATATACATTTTTGTTACTTGTATCGTGGATGGTGTAATTAAATGTCCACAGTTTTAGACTATAGAAATTCTGTGCATTTTTTAACACAGGAGTAGGTAGGCACTTTTCAAGATCAACCATTATGACTTTTAGACTAGGAATTGTGGAAGACCTCTCTTTATCAATTTTTTTGAGATTGTATCGGTTAGATGCCTCTACCAGATGTCTATCATATTCATCCTGTAAGCTTTTCCTTTCTTTCAGCGTTGACGAATCACGCAGTTTAATTTGGAAACAGTCACAAGTGTCGCACGTGTCATTAATTGGCGATTTAAAGGAATAGTTGAACTCTGTGTTAAATATTTCATTATAGAGCCATGGCTTGGCTATATTTTTCAATGAAATATTCTGTTCCTCACACTGTTGCTTGTAGAGTTCATACATCTTGGAAATATTGAAATGCGACCCTAGATAATTTTTATTTGTCTTTTCACGCCGGTAATGATACTGTTCAACAGGAAATTGTAAAATATGTTCTCTTACACTACGCCTTACTTCTTCGTTAATTTTGTTGGGCAGAACCTTTTTTCCTCTTCTATCTTCAGATACTACACCGCTAGTTCCTTTCTTAGACAGAGCGGTTCTAACGAAAGTTTGCGAAATATTTAATGTATTCAAGTAAAATATTTTACACACTGGTCTTTTGCGAGTGAATATCGTAATGTTTTGTTTCGCTGATTTCTTCTTGTTCCTGTTCTTTCGCGTCGTGTATGGATGGGCTCGACTTTAACAGTAGATGCGACAAATTGACGTTTCTGATTAATGTCAATTTGAGCAGACCAAAACTGTTTTAAAATATCGTGACGATTTTCTTCTGAAAACTGCTTGTGGTGTTATTCCTTAAATTCATGTTTAATGGTGTTATTCCTGTTATCGTATGTACCATACGATACCACAAGTGAAGCTTTATTTATTGCATGCTCAGTACATTTCAATTTACACGTTTCTTTACATGTTGGACCCAGTACCCGTGGTTTCATTAACTTATTCTTTTTTGATACATACTGTTCACCACCTGCTCGTTTTTCTTTTCTAACTGTCGACTTCCATGTTTTGTAATTTCTCTTACGTTTACGTGTCTTGATTTTAATATTTTCTTGGTCTTCGTTATTGAGAACATTGCCGTTTTCATTATTATCTTCTTCATTTGTACCGGAAATACTCGAATTATCAGACAACTGGTAATTCGGATGTTCATCTGAGTCGTCAAAGATTTCGTCTAATTCAGCTTCAGAGCAACTATCTCGCTCATCAATTGGGTTTGGTTCCGTTGATACTATGTCAGATGTTTGCTCATTTTGTGTATGCTCAGTTATGCTATTAAGTGATATAGCACCATTATGATCTGCTTCAGTGACAAATTGATTAGAGTTATCATGTAATGGTTTTTCTGGCGGTATCATGTTTTCTGTTAAAATAGATGAGCAAGTATCTGACAATTTACTGGAAACACATACTCCCGTTGCAATATTTCTAACATGTCCCTGTTGTAGGTCACCTGAAACAAGTCTCGTATAAGTAGGAGTATTACGGTAACATTAAAAATGCAAAGCAACTAAAATATATTCAAAAAGTGGGCACCAAAAAATTTATTTAAGGGAACTGATTGTTCTTACTCTTTTTTGAATGGTTATCTTGTAATTATATTGTTTAAAAATGTTTGTGTAATTATCACTTTTAAAATTGCTAACTAAAATAACAGTATCATGTCACATACATCAACCAACAATTTGAGAAGTGTAGTGTACTAAGTCTCTCAAATTGTTTCATTTACCAAACTTTTAAGAAGTGCTTTGAATATTTAAATTTATCTTGTAATAATTATATTGTTTAAAAAATGTTTTTTGTGTAATCTGCAGATATCTATTTATAACTTTTCAACCTACAAAATAGAAATTTTTACTTTCAAAATTGCTAACTAGAATAAAAGTATCATGTCACATACATCGACCAATAATTTTAGAAGTGCATTGTACTAACTTACCCAAATTATTTCATTTACCCAACGTTTTTTCGAAAAGGCTTTCGACAGTGTCGAACATTGGGCAGTGAAAAGTTCTTTGATTAACAGCCGAATTGACCACAGATATACGGAACTAATAACCAATATATATAAGGAAGCCAAAACAAAAATTAAAGTATATGAAGGAACAAAATCATTACAAATAAGTAGAGGCGTGAGACAGGGTGATACAATATCACCGAAACTTTTCAATCAGGCTCTAGAAGATACTTTTAAAAGATTAGAATGGGAAAAAAAGGTATAAAAATTTGTGGACAACGCTTGAACCATCTAAGGTACGCTGATGACATCGTATTGATAACCGATAAAAAAGAAGAATTATTTGAAATGATGAAAGAACTGGACGTAGAAGCTGGATAGATAGGCCTTAATTTGAATTACAGCAAGACCAAAACTATAACAAATACAGATGAAGACATCACAATGAGAATCGGACAAGATGAAATAGAACAAGTTAAGGATTATATATATCTTGGTCAAACTATAAAACTTAACAAAGAGAACCAAACAGCAGAGATCAAGAGACGAGTTAGACTGGCATGGGCGGCATTTGGCAAACTAAGCTACATTCTTAAAAACAAAAGATATCCACAGCATCTTAAGACCAAAGTATATAATCAATGCGTACTCCCTGTTCTTACGTATGGCTCCCAAACGTGGACATTTACAAAAGCAAACATGGACAAAATCATAAAAACCCAAAGAGCAATGGAAAGACAAATGTTGCACATAAGACTAATGGATAAGAAGAGAAACGAGTGGATAAGAGAGAAAACAAAAGTGAGGGATGTTAGACAAGAAGTTGCAAAATTGAAATGGAGATTTGCCGGACACAATATAAGACAAAAAGAAGACCGATGGAACAAAATTCTTATAAGTTGGAGACCGTGGGAATATAAACGAAGCAGAGGAAGGCCCCAAATGAGATGGGCAGATGATATCAAGAAGCACGTGGGCTCTAGATGGATGACGGTAGCGACAGACAGAGAAGAATGGAAAAGGATTGGGGAGGCCTATGTCCAAAGATGGACCGAGGAAGGCTAATTAGATAGATAGATAGACCCAACTTTTAAGTGCTTTAAATATTTGAATTTATCTCGCAATAATTATATTGTTTAAAATGTTTTTTGTCTAATATGCAGATATCTATTTATAACTTTTCAACCTATAAAAATAGTAATTATCATTTTCAAAATTGCTTACTAAAATAAAAGTATCATGTCACATACATCGACCAATAAATTGAGAAGTGTTGTGTACTAAGTCATTCAAACTGTATTATTTACCGAACTAGTAAGTGCTTTACATAAGTACATTGATTCAATTTTACTTGTTCACTTTAATATGATGACAACGATTAGTTAAGTATTAACGAAAAATAAAATACAAAATAATTACCTGATATATTCTTTCCAAGTGAGGTTATGTTGGCACGTTCTTCCGACCATTCTTCTTTTGGGGTCGTCTGAATATCATTTATATTCTGTACTAAAGCACACAAACGTTGTCCACGGCTCATTTTGTCAATACTTTTTTTAAATATCGTATAACAAACACAGTCACTAAGTTCAAACTTATCTTCAGAATATTTATTAATCACCTAGTACTCGTAAACGCAATGACAATTTAATACCAAGTCAGACACGTGACTACAGGCATTAGAGGTAAATAGTATTAACTGACATAATACAGTTTACTTCTAATACACTCTGTGGGTTAGTACTGTTTAACGCCACCTATCTTTAGAATAGAACAGAATTGAACGGAGATCTGTTTACCACAGAAAATAGCATGAATATTAAGTCATATGGTACTGAAATCTCATTTTTGATAAAATAGTGACTTGGTACTGTTTACCTCTGAGGTGCTGATATATATATATATATATATATATATATATATATATATATATAGATATATATATATATATATATATATATATATATATATATATATATATATATATATATATATATATATAGACTATTATAAACGGCAGGGAATACTGTTGTACGGAGTTGTCGTAAACTCTCACAGACGCTACTTGTAAGAAAATTGACGCTTTCGAAATGTGGCTTATACTAATCACGTTACTAACCAGGACGTTTTATTAGGAATGCAAAAAAAGAAAAGAGCTTTTCAGAACACAAATTTGCAAAATACAGATTGCCATGATGGTCGCCAATATCCGAAACGGATAGACACTACAAGTAAAAGAAAACAGCAGGCCAGTTTACAAGATTTAATCCTGAAGAGGATGTCAAAATCGATCAATCATATTCTTCGTCCAATTATTTTAGTGTGTACTTAGACCATCGTCCCTTATTATGTTAGTTATATACTTTATTTAGATATAATTTTATACTATAAATTCATATTCGCTTTTATTTTGACCTGCTTGTCCAGCTGTTATTGTCCGACCGATTGTTACATAAAGGTTATCATAGGTATATTAGTATGTTAGTTTCAAAGTCAACAGGACGTTATTAACACGGCTTTGATTTAACCGAATCATTTTTTGTATCCATATTTAGCATTTAAAGATATTACACTATTAAGCAATAATTATCATTTAATGATTTTATACATGTCTGGGGATTTCCTATATCTGTTATAATTCAAAGGTTATAATTGTTGACTAATAATATGACGAAATAGTGCATATGATTCTCATGGCATTCGCAACTTTATTTTAATTCAAATTACTTAACGTTGATAAAAAATATGCAATATTAAAATCACTTGACATATTGTGGCAATACAATAGTAAATATTCCGTATTAAATAATTAAATAACTAAACTTTATTGTATGAAAAGCATTTTTTGTAATATCTATATTATTTATTATTAAATCAAAATTAACTATTATATTTTAAACTTTTTTAGTTAACATTTTGTACTTTTTATAGGTGCCAGACGGGATGCAGATGGTTACTTATGGGTAACTGGTCGTGTAGACGATATGTTAAATGTTTCTGGTCATCTTATGTCTACTGCAGAGGTAGAATCTATTTTGACCGAACATCCGTCAGTAGCAGAAGCAGCAGTAGTTGCAAAACCTCACCCTGTGAAAGGCGAGTGTTTGTACTGTTTTGTAACTCTTACAGAGCATGGAGTATTTAACGACAAACTGACTAAAGATCTAAAGCAAATAGTTAGGGCGAAGATAGGTCCGTTTGCACAACCAGATATCATTCAGAACGCACCTGCTTTACCAAAAACTAGATCTGGAAAGATTATGAGGAGAATCCTAAGGAAAATAGCTGTAAACGACAAAGATGTTGGTGATATTAGTACTTTAGCTGATAGTTCTGTGGTGGAAGCCTTATTCGCTTCAAGGCCGCAAGAAGCTTAATTTTATATTAATCATAGGTACCTACTTTGCATTAAATAAATAAGTGTATATAATCTAGTCCCTTATAAAAGTTTGTAATCAATATGTCTTGGACTATTCTCATGTAAATATACAAACTAACTACTAGAGATCGGCAAAACTGGGTTTTAATTGTATTTGTTAACGTAAGTTTATGCATATTCATGGTAAACTAGTTTTGTCTTTAATTAACAGGGAAAATTTAAAAAAGCGAGAGATAAAACTACCTGGACTGAGTATAATAAAAATAATGCTGAAATTCTCTTAGTGGAACAGGAACTGAAATTCGTAATCAACATCAACCAATAAGTCATTAAAAATGTATGTAGTTAACTAAATAAATAGCAGATAGAGATGCAATGTTAAAACTCAAAATTATACATACAGTTGTGAATTCGGAATGGACACATTTCGCAACAGATCATATATTGTTGGATATCAAATTCTAGTTTCATCTTATTTTAATCAAAAATAAGATGACGACATTGATGAATATTACTTGGCACTTTAAAAATTTTGATGTAAACACTGCTACAAAAAATGAATAGAATATTTGCCATAGTCCTAAAAAGACAGAGAATAAAGAGTATACACTTCGACTGGTTGTTCGAGGATAAAAATATAGATAATTTTTAGTTTAACATAATTTTAAAACTCAACATGTTACAGATAATTAAGACAAAACATATTAATATTGAAAATCGAATATGGAGAAATGATTAGAGGGTCTCCATTTTAAGAAAAGCATCGAATGCAGTTCGTTATCATATTGTACACTCTCATTTCCAGCCATACTATATTATAGGTAGTTCACTTATTACTAATATGAAAAGTAGTGTTAGTTTTAAATTATATGAGAATATATATTTTGTTTTGCATTGCGTTCTTGTTACTTATTAACATTATATGGCCGAAATTGGCTAAAAGTATTGGCTTGTGGAACAAAATATCGTCCATTTACGAAAATAATTAGAATACATTAATAAACTTAATACTGATAATCTTATAATTATTATAATGAACCCATTTGGCAGAAAAATGTATAGAAATAAAATTTTAAAATACAATTAGTAACATAATTTAAAAAGTATTTTAAGAATGCGGCTTGATCTTTATAACTATATTACACAAATAAGCACAAACTGATTCAGCCAAAAATTATAAAATCAACATCATAAATTTAATAATAAATTTTATTTATGGTTATCTGTTTAGACTTTTTTTGCTAAAAATATGTTTTAAATAATTTGTTAAAAATATGTTTATTTTCATAAAAATAATCTTTTATTATGATTCACATACCAAGAAGAACTTAATGCCATACTTAACTGGCTTACTATACTAAAATCACAATCAAGATACACTAGAAATAAACTAGAATAAATAAAATAAAAAATTTAGAAGAAAGAATGAATAAAGAAAAAAAAAAGGAAGTCATATTTACGATCAAAAAACGAAAACTGCAATACTTGGGACACATTACAAGATGCGAAAGATATGAACTGCTTCGAATAATTATGCAAGGGATAATAGCAGGTAAAAGGTCCCTAGGAAGAAGACGAAACTCCTGGCTAAAGAATCTACGGGAATGGTATAGCTGTAGCAACAACGAATAATTGTTTCGGTCAGCAGTTTCGAAAATACGTATAGCCCTGATGATCGCCAACCTTCGGAACGAAGATGGCACTTGAAGAAGAAGAAATAAATAAACCAAGACACGTTGAATGTTCCAAGGGGCACTATTAAATAATGATTTACAATGTATATAGATTGCAAAAATCCCAAATCATGATTTACAAAGTTTATATATTGTAAATCATGATTCAGGAGTGTTCCTCGTAACATTTAAGTGTCTTGTTTTATTTATTTCTAGCGCATCTTGATTGTGACTTTAGTATAGGCATAAAGCCAAGTAATTGTTTATCACTTGTTACATACATTTTTGGTATCAGTTAAGTTTTAGGGCCCTTGTTAACGAACGTTTTTTTCAACGGGTGACGGGCCGATGCTAAACGGGTACCCGTGTCGACGGTTTTAATTTCAAGGGATATGCGTCCGTTGACAGTAAAAAATCTCCAAAATATCGTCAGTTTTAAAGTAATAAGTGTAAGCAATACATGTTATATCATGTTGCTGTCAAAGCAAAAAATTATACTAGCGTATTATTTGTATAAAAAAATGCAGAAGAAACTAGATAAGCGTAAAAGAAAAATATGGATACATCCCATTTTGTTAGAAAGAGAAAAGTGTGGTGCTTTTCATACACTTTACGAAGAATTGAAAAAAAGACGAAACAAAATTCTTCAATTACCGCAATTATTAAAATCTTCATATCAAAATCCATATTTTAGCGACAGCAAAGAAAGAAATTTATTGAAACAACGGATGCTTGTCCAACGCCGTTAACACACTTGCATAAACTAAAATGGTTCACTGAGGGTTCACTGCACCGGCCCGACGAACGTCTTGCCAAGGGGGACTGGATACGTAGACGGTGAAAAGTTAACCAACGGATTGGTTGCCGTTGCGTGAACAAACATTTATACGAACCTGAAAGAGACCTGAAAGCGACGGCCAACGGGACGGTTTCAAAAACGTTGAATGTTGTCGTTAACAAGAGCTCTTACACTGATTTATAAACATATTCCACACATAAGAATTTGGCGCGAACTTATCCGTTTCCAGCATCTGATTTCCCGTTCTTTTATCACCGAATCGTAAAAATCTTATCTATTCAAATCTATTTACAGACATGCAAGCTTCTTAAATAGGATTAGAACACTTATCTAAAAATATTTCTTTAATTTAAACGTCCTAACTCTTTTTAACACCAGCCCTAAGAATTATTCCTAAAATTCGTGTAATTTGTTTTTTTTGATGTTTCCAACCATCGACTTCAGTAAATATTTTATCTTTGCGTCATAGTCGCGGAATAAATCTCACTATGTTGTGTAAGGCATAGTTTCCTGATTTTCTTACTGGATTTGTAAACCATTATTTATCATTGGATGCAATCATCACTTTACCACTTGATGTGAAATGTAGAAATATCTTTTTTATCTGACTCTGGTGCATAATTAGTGTCAGATTCAGTAGACTGATTCATCACTGGATTCAGATTCAGCGGAAGAAGACTTATCAAACCATTTTTGAGCCATTTCTTCGAAATCAGGGTTTGATGGATCTAATATTCTTTTCTGCTAGTCAAAGCCATAACCAAAATTATTAAAATATAATTATGAAAATCATCTTTCTGCAGTTCATATATGGTAAACTTATCGATTATTTCTGACAAAAAAGCTGTAACTCATTTACAAGACATATCCAAATAAAATACAAGTTCTAAGTTGATACCACAATAATATCTAGTAAAATCATTCGAAAATGCCTGACCGAATAAATACCAGGATGTATATAAGGAACGGAGATGCAATAAATTGCAAAAGAACAATGAATCAATGCTCTTATCTAAAAGAGGCAAAAATTAATAATTTTACAATATTTACTACGTACATGACATTTACCTTTTAGCAGATTTTATGTGTAAATGTATAATGACGGAATATATTAAGCCATCATTACTTATTTTCAAAATTATATGAAAAAATAGATATGAAAAAAACATTCTGGGTCGAGCGTACATGATCTAAATTCTATGGGTAAATAAATATAAATAAAACAATCTTATATCGTGTCAAAAGATTTGGTGCAGAGATAACATTCGTCGTACCAGTTAAGCAACGTGGTATATATTATATTAAACTTGACACTAGATTTTCGTTAATGTTTTTGATAAAATAAAAATTATTGTTTATTTACTTGCAGAACGCAGTAATTTTTGCATTACCAGAAAAAATCTGTATAGTGACACTAAAACAATTTCGGTAAAATTCTAGATAGTTTTATAATTTTTGGCTGAATTTTCATTGATTTATATATTTTTTGTTATAAATACCTATTTGTACTAAGAAGACTCTGTACTGTTGTTTATATATTAAACTCAATATACAAAAAAACTATCTAATTTTAAATGTTGGTAATACAGAACTCAACAAAATCGTTTAATCCCTTAATTCCCTTATAAGTAATGACATCTTAACTTTACTATAAGAGATGATTTGTACCTTAACTAAATCATAAGAACTCAATTTTCATCATTTATCACTAAAAAAATATCCCCAAAATTTTTTTAAAGACGCAAATATTAGGGTTTAGCATAGAACTTTTCCGATAGATAATATTATGTGTTCAAAATAACTGATTTAATTTTTTAGTAAATTATAAATATGATAACCATTCATGTAAACCTCTTTTTTTAACACTATATAATAAGTTGGTCTTTGTATATGCGCCCTATTGTCAGTATTTTTTACTAACGTTTTCTTTGCAACTTGTCACATTTGTCTCATATGAACCACTTAAACTCTGAACTCACATCAAAGGAGATATAGCTTGTATACATTTTAATAACCAAATCGGAAATTGCTGCATTAAATTTGGCCCATCTTATGTTTTTCCTAATATTTCATTTTGTTCCAAGGTTTCTAAACCTTGATGATATTTACTATAGGATGTACTACCAATATTTAAATATTTTTTTGATTAATTACTTCATATTCTGTAAATTAATGTTTTACATTCAACAGTACAAAGTTATAGTGTGTAAATCATTTATTTTTTACTTTATATAAGACTAAATATTTCATTATATTAAATTATTAAACATGAACGCCGTAGCATACATTTCATACAACATACAACATATATGACGAAAACATTATTGTTTATTTGCGATAATTGATATTTTATATATTTATATTTATTATTAAATGATTTTATAGTATACAAATAACATTAGGAATAATATTACACTAATATAGTATTAATTTTAATGATAATAGGGTGTATGACTGTGTGGTGAATATTTTTGTACAGAAAAGAAAAAGAAAGAATTATTTTTTTAATATTTACTTCAAGCTAATTCGCTGATGTGCTGTAGAAAACTTTGTTAAATTTGTTTGTTAATTAATATTATTGATTGTAAATAGAATTAGTTGTATGTTAATCTAAGCATCCATTTATGTGAAAAAGCCTTCATTAAACATATCATTCCATAACTAGAGCGTAATAAAAAGTATAATGTTGATGTTATTGTATTTATTATTTGTTATGCCGCTTCATACAAACATAATATATGTACGGCTCCTTAGTCTAATGATGCACATATAAGATGGCTAGAAATATTTTTTATTCGATTGGAAAAAATTGCTACCAAATTTATAAGCACCAGAGGTAAAAATACAAGATAAATCTTTATTATGACTTGTTAAAACAAGCGATTTACTAATACACTATATTTATTTTACTTAAATGCACGAAAAAATAGAAAATCGAGATAAATTATGTTTTATCATCATCATAATAAACCTATATCCGCCCACTGCTGGACATAGGTCACGCTTCAGGTCGTCAATCCATCTAGTTGGTGGGCGTCCTCTGCTCCCTATTGCTTCTTGTCTTGGTCTCCACTCTAAAATACGTTTTGTCCATATCGGTTGTCTGATAATCTGGCGAAGTGACCTGCCCAATTCCATTTTAACGACGCGATTCTTTCGGTGGCGTCAATTGTTTTTATTCTAGGACGTATTTCTTGATTTGAGATTCGGTTTCTCAAAGGGACACCCAACATCTGGCACTCCATAGCACTCTGAGTCACGCGAATCTTATTAACTAACTACTACCTACTGACTACTAACTTACACCATAAGTGAGTACAGGTAACACACACATTAGTCAAATATTTTTCTTCTGCGGCACATAGGTAGATCCGATTTAAATACGTAGTTTAATTATGTCCTAACTACTTATATACGATGTTTTTTTTTTCGTCTTTATAGAGGGGAGGTCTGGAATCTTCAAAAGACATCTCAGTCCAGGACGCCGCCTGACTGACCTTAGTGCAGGATTCGTTCTTAGTACTCCCGGCGATAGTTCCCGAGGTACTTTAAAATGCCCTCTCGTCGCCGAGTCTACGCCGAACGCCTACCTGCTAAACCAGACCCTGCTCTGTTATCCAGCGATCCAGAAGCGGAATGGCCGCTGTAAGGCCGGCATCACTTCCGAAGCACTACTTTTATTCATTTATTCTCCATTCATACACATCCACACTCCTAGTTCGGCATCATTCTCAGAAGGGCATTTCCTCCTTCCCCACAGTCAAACACACGCATTCTAACTTAAAAAGTGTGACCAACTGTTTTAAATTCACCTTTTAACATCATTAACTCTACCTTTGCCGTTGGTCCAGCTGTCTTTCTTCCTCTTCCTTTTTTTGATCACTGCACGAATATAACTGTGTATGTTAATCCAACCTAATTT